CCAGGAAGTAATTCAACATTTGATAACTGTTGCCACAGTACTTATGAGGATTGGTAGGATATTAGTTCCAAACTGCAGGGTTTCTCTTCATTTGGAATCAGGGGCTCAAATCAAGGCTCATTATATGCATATATGAATATTCAACAAAAAATCTCCTACTATATATAACGATAGCATACCAATATTAAGGAAATAAGGAAAATCTGGTATGTATAATAACAACAACAAAAAGTGAAGTGGTCACTTCAGGAGATGACTTAGCCAACCTTTTAAAAATGAATCCTTCACTCCCCTGAGATTTGCAGCATGAAACACTCACATCTAGACATCACTGGTGGGGTTGACATCACTGGTGGGCTTGATATCACTGGCAGGATTGGGAAGTATTAATCTGTTTTTGTCAGGTTTTAGGTTGGGCTTAGATTTTTTTTTCTTGGTTAATCTTTGAGTGCATCTCAACCTTCCACATAGCTCTGTTTTACCAATATTAAAAATGTCCTGGGCATGATCCTTCCTCCACCTCTGCCAACATCTACCCACAACACCCCCATTGCCTCACTAATCTGAGCTAATTCAATCAATTAGGGAGACCACCAGCTGCTTCTTAATATCCTTATTCTAAGTGATTCTTGCTTAAAAGTAGCTAAATTATCCCTCCTCCCTGGAATGTCTCAGCCTGGAGTCTCTGCCCTCTTCCTGCTTCTGCATCTCATGAAAGGCAGTCTCATGGATCTGTTCCCACCCAGACCCATCAGTGATGGTCTGTGCCTCCTTGTCACCACAGTTCTGTGGGGGTTGATTTTTAACTTCTGCAAAAACTCTGGCCTTCTCTTTGCAGGATCTCAGAAAACTGTGTTTGCTCCCAGTCATATAATTCCTTCTCCCCAAAGAGAATACTTGAGCTTTACTAGTAAGGAAAAAACATGCAAAAAGTTTTGTTAGTGGTCCTTAGGGTCCGAGGCTTCATGCAGACCAGCATCACCACCTCTATTTTGACATAAGTAAAAATTGGCAGTCCAGCCTCAGGAGGAAGTGAAAGGCCAGCTGTCTGTCCTATCTTCAGAATCCTAAAAAGATTTCAAGCTCAGTTTGAGGCCAGATCATCCATTTTGGGGCTTTTTCTTGGCTGTCTCCACTGCCGACATGGCTGCCTCTCTGTGGGAGATGCTCTCCTGTTCTCTATAATTGTGTTTATAGTTGACTCTCTCCAGGCACAGACCCTAGCTTGCATTCCAATGGAGTTGAAAAGGGATTAGACTTTGATTCTCAGAAAGGGGGCTTCACTTGAACTCCACCCATCTCAGAGTCCATGGGCCTGTGCAGTGGTTTCTTGGAGCACTTACTAGATGAAAGATTTTCAGGGGGAAGAAAAGGACACTGAGCCAGAGGTGTCTTGTATATAGATAAAATAAAAATGTGAATAAATATTTAAGTTAAAATAACAACAGTAACATAAATTTATTTCCTGAGGGGTGCTGGTGGGAGCACATCCGGCTCCAGTTTACTCCAGAATATCTTTCATTCTTCCTGGATCTTAAGAAAAGTTTGAGAAGCATGGAAATGCTCCTAGACGCCACTAGAGGGCACTCATGCTCTTTGTTGTCTTAGATTTCAGACTGGCTCACCTTCAACCTGAGACCAAACTGAGTAGTCAAAATAAATGGCCATTAAACAGGTGGTGGGGTGGGCTTGGGAGAGACAATCTGGGGACCACAGACTATCTTTCTTTTTGCATCTCTTTCTACATCTATAAAATTAAGGATTTGGATTATACTGAGGATTCTGAGTTGTACTCCAGAGGCCCTCTTAGAGCAGATTTGAGGGGCTTCCAGATAGGAAGGGATGGGGGAAAGTCTTCCCCTTTCTTTAAGCAGAGTGGCCTATTTTATTTACTTATATTAGTTAAGACTTGAGTATAGGGTCACAGTATTAAAGAGAAGTTTGAAAGCAGGAGAGCTAAATAATTCCTAGATGATCCAGGGCCTCCTGCCTTAACCTTCTGCTTGGACTTACTGTCTATACCCCTGGTCCACTCATTCTTTCATTCCTTTCCTTCTGCTCACACCAGCAATGTTACTGAATTGTCCAAAGCCTGAAGCTGGGCAAAACCCAAGAAGGGGTCCTTTCTTTTGGAAATGGATGGGGTCAGGCCAGGGAAGAACAGGCTTGCTGGTCCAGAGACCAGAGAGACCAGAGAGAGAGGATTCCTGGACAGCAGTGGTTCAGCTGTGGTGGCCCCCTCCCCTGCTCACGACTGGTCCCCAACAACACAGGGCGAGCTAGAGTCAATCCTAATTAAAGCTTCCAGCTCTGTCAACCTTCCTGTTGTCCAGGTTAAGAAGGTCATTATTCTACTGCATTCCATTTACATTCAAGTTCCTGACCCACCCATGAATTTATATTTTCCATTAATTCATTTATCAGCTATTGGCTGAGCATTTATATACATGCACAGGACTAGTAGTTCCGGAGGATGAGGAAAAGTGTAAAATAAGTTTTTTTTTTTTTTGTGTGTGTGTGTGTGTGTGCTAAAGGGTTTGTTGTGCATCTTGAATGTGAATCTTATATGCTTTCTTCCTACTTTGCAGGTCCCTCCTCCTCTGATAGAGAGTGCCACACTAGTGGCACACTTAGGGGTGTGGTAAGTGACTAGGGGCGCTTGCCTGTAGAGTTTTCTTTGTCCCACTTGGTCTTTTGCCACTGTTCCCTCAAAATGAGTAGCAAGAGAGTGCCAGACAATCGTTCTCCAATTTTCCCCCCTTTCCATCTGTTTTTTCTTACTATTTCCATCAAAGTAATTCTGTATATTTTTGTCTCTGAGACCATGGAATTTTGTAGGTAAGACTCCTGTAGTGAGCACAAAGTCTTGAATGACATTCAGATACCTCATATTCCCTTCAAAGCTTTTGACAGTCAAGTGCCACGATGGAGATGTACTATCACAGTAGAGAAACAAAGAGGTAGAAATAGGCCAGACAATACAACCAGATGAGGAGGCTCTGAATTACTTGGCAGGTGTTAAGCTTAGTACAGGAACCGTTTCATTGACATCTACTAAGAAGAACGGGCACTTACCATCACTTGTTTTCGTCACTACACTCAGCTCAGAAATTCTAGCAGGAGAAAGGAGAATTGGGTGGAAGTGTCCTTGAGATTTCATTGCAGGTCCTGAGGGGTGAATATATTTTAGAGGCAGGAAAGAAAAAAAAATATTTTTTGCATTGAAATAGTCTCACAAAAGATATGAATTTTAAAAATTGACAATAAATATGTATAGAAGTGAAGGCAATGACCAGGTATCCTTGCCAAGTAAATTTACAGATGCTCTCCCAATATATCCACTTATTTATTTAGATACTCACTACATGTATATAAAAATAGAAAATAAAAAGGGAGGGAAATTCTTATAACATTCTTGTACATAAGTACCAGGAGACATAAATGAGAATATTTGTAATAGCACAAGTTGGAAAACAGCTGGAACTATTTCAACAGATATCCTTCAGTAATAGAATGGAGGGGCAATTGTTCCATGTTCATACAATAGAATACAGCACAGCTACATGCAACAATAGGGGTGAAGTTTAGGTCAAGAACATTGAATAAATAAAGCAAATTGCAAAAGAATAAGAATGTTGGGCTATTGGTGTGAAGTTTGGAAATATGCAAAACTAAATTACATTGTTTACAGATTCAAATATGCATGGTAAAATCATAAAAACAAGGAAAATATTGACCAACATGCCATGTAGGCAAAGGACTGCCTTCAAGAAGGGAAGGAAAGGAAGGGAATGTGATTTGGCACAGGGAGCCTTCAAGTTCTTGGTAAATTCAAATTCTTAACGATGGGTGTGGGTGGTCCCTGGGTGTACATGTATTGTTAATATATTCATGAATATTTTTATAAAATTGTACAATGTCTACTCAATATTTAACAAAAACAAAGCAAGATTGGATAAAGAAGAGTAAAATGGAGTTTTACTCAGGCATAAAGAAGAATAAAATTATGTCATTGACTGGTCAATGGATGGAACTGGAGAACATTATGCTGAGTGAAATAAACCAGACTCAGAAAGTTGAGGGTTGAATGTTTTCTTTCCCAGGCAAAAGGTAGAGAGAAGTAAGGAACAAAAAAGGGGGATCTGGAACTGGGTGGTGGCTCCGTGGTAGAGCACTTGCCAGCATGTGTGAGGCACTGGGTTCCGTTCTCAGCACCACATATAAATAAATAAAATAAAGGTCCATTGACAACTAAAAAATATTTTTAAAAAAGGGGGGATCTGAAAACAGAAGGGAGAACAGTGGAGTAGAGGAAGGGCGATGAGGGGGAGGGAGAAGGGATGGGAGAGGGGAGGAACAGCAGAATGAAAATTAACCAGGTAACATATCACACCGATTTTACTCTTATGTATAACTGTAATGCACCCATTAAAAATAGATTGAAATTAAAAACTAAAAATACAATGCAATAATAGCACAAAGACTGGGAGGAGAGGAATTGAAAATATATAATTGTAAGGTTCTTACATTGTTATTTACACGAGGTGAAATAATATTATTTGAAGGTAGGCTTAATAAAAGATGTTTAAAAAAGGATAGATAAATTAAATGATTTTTAAAAACCCTGCTAATTCTTACACCCTCCCTCATGGAGTCAGCGTGTACACTATCAGGGTATGTGTACCTCCAACTTTGGAGACCACTGGTTTTATTATACAAAATGAGATTTTTTATTCCTAAAACATGCAGTAAGAACAGAGTAATAGACAGCAGGTTCAGCTCAGTCCTGATGGTGGGATGAGACCCACTGCAGCCACTCACCCAGTGAGGTATTGCCCAGGACCAGAGGGGCTTCTGGGTGTTTCGCTTTCAGCTCCAGGAGATCCTGGAGGGTCCCGGGGGAGATCCAGGTCACTCGCTCTCCATAGAAGGTCAGGGTTCCCTTTTCTGGGTTCTCGGCCATCCTCTAAGGGCAAATGCAACTGTATGTGCTTGTGTGCACACCAGTCCTCCTGGGTTATGACAAGGATCCAGGTGGAATAGAAAGATTTGGGGGGTTCTGGGCTCCATGTGCCCAGAAAGATGCTCACTACACCTATTGGCTAATACCCAAATTCCTGTAATTAGATATTTTTTTAACGGGGGAGGGGAGGCAAGTGACAATATAAGCTGGTACCTGTCATTGACCACTCAGAGTGGATTAATTTAGCATAATTCAGTCTTAGGTCTTAAAAATCACAACTACACCAATGCTTCTAAATTAACATCTTTATTTTGGACTTTGCCTCTGAAATGCAAACTCACATCTGAATGAGCACTAATGTAACAAACCTCTCAAATTTAACCTGTCTCAAGCAGAGCTCCTGCCAGCCAATCCCTTTCTAAGCACCTGATAAGAAACCCCAAAAAGAAAAATAGCCCGTTTCTCTAAAGTTTTTCCCTTGCTGTAAATTGCTGTACTCTCTCAGCTGCCCAAAGCTCTGGGGTCAGCCTTGCTATCTCTCTCTTTCATACCCACATCACATCCATCAACAAGCTGGTTAGGTTTTCTTGCAAAATGATCCCGAATCCACACATTTTTCACTGCCTCCTCTGGCAGCGTGTCCCAGCCACCACCCCTCAAGAAGACATTGGTCCCTGCCAGGCCCTTTGCAGACTACTCTCAGCACAGCAACTGGGATGATCCCATTGCAACATCTGCAGGGCCATGTCCCTCCTCTGTCAGGCCTTCCTAATAGCTCTTTGTCTTTTGTAGAGTAAAATCAGAGTGGCATTCAGTCCAGCAGAGGCTGCCCCTTGCTTACTTGACTCCAGCCCTGCCAGCCTCCACTCTGTCCCTTGACCAGGCCAGCTGTTCTCTTACCCTTGGGAACTTTACACTTGCTGTTCCCACAGCCTGGATGGCTCTTGCCCCACACATCTTTGTACATCTTTGGCTCCCTCTCTTCCTCCCAGACTCTCTTCCTATGGTACCTTCTCAGAAATCTTCTCTGGCAACTACCTGCATCCTAGACTTCTGTTTTAATTCATTTTTCTCCTTCACGCTTCTCACTGGTTGACACATTGTATTTCCTATCTATTGTTTTGCTTATTGTCTGTCTTTCTTACCAGACTGCAAGCTCTCTTGGGCAGGGCTTTTTGTTAGCTTGGTTTCCTGCTTCGTCAGTACCTAGAACAGTGCTGGCTTGTTGTTAAATGGACAAACATTTTTGAATGAATGAATGAACACCTTCAGAAAAAGGTGTTTTACAGAATGAGACACAGAATGCTTGGGAATGAAGACTGTGATTCTGAAAGAGGTGAGGGTAAGGAATAGGGGTGTTTGGGGGTCAATACACTGGAGTGGTCAGAAAAACCAAGCAGGATCTTACAATGCTTTATCACCTGGACAGTTGACAGGGACAAATTCCAGATAACAATGATGAAAGCAATGATGTAATCCTTTTTTAACAAAACCTCAGATGGGGCTTCAGGGAACATTCGGGGGGTGGTTCAGGGGTGGTGAGCTGGGGAGGGAACAGGCATCTCCATCCTATCAACCACTTCCACAATTTGACAGTGTCACGGGAAGGAAATGGTGAATTTATAAAACTGAGTTTATAACCGGTTATGTTTAAACAAGCACATAAAACACCCAACTCATCTTACCAAGAGTTCTGGGGGAAATATGAGCTCCTGGGTTGGGTCCAACGGCTGGAACTCCTCTTTCGCAAATAACTCTGTGCAAATCTTTATAGAAGGAAGAAGCAGATGGCCCTGTCAGCCCCACTCAATTGGCAACAGTGCTGTAGTTCTTTACAGGAATTAGGCAAGATTAACTAGTACTAATTCACCTACTCTCCTTATACAGGGAAATGGTTCAAACTAAATAACTTAAATAAGAATCTTGTAAGAAAGATACAGATTTTCCAGTAGCATGATATTAGAGGAAAGAGTATTCTATGAATTCCTCCAAAAAGTACTCTGGGAAATGCTAAGACATTGTATGAAAGATTATTAGACATTAAATAAGTTCTCTACATTGTGCTAACCACTGTATTTCCCCTGGCCAAGTCAGGATTCAAAATGTTACAGGCTCTGAGAAGTCCTGTATTTAGCATGCACACACACTCACTTACTCACGGAGCCTGACTTTCATAATAATAGTTAATATTTATTGAGTGCTTTTTTTCCTTCATGTACTGGGGATTGAACCCAGGGCCTCATGCATGCTGGGCAAGTGCTTTACCACTGAGCTACACCCCCAACCCATGTGTTTTTAACATGTATTAATAATTTATTCAATTCTCATGATAATTGTATAAAGGAAGTCAATGATCATCTCAATTTTACACTTAAAGAAACCAAAGCATAGTGAACCATCTCCTGAACCGCCATCCTGCCTGACTCAGAGCTGCTTTAGCTTTGGAAAACACTTGTTGCCAGAAAACATTCCTAAAGAAGTAAGGAAAATTGGGAGAGATCCTTGGGATGCAGGGGTGGCAGCAGGTGCCATGGGGAGGGTACTTAGATGTGGGATGCATACAGGACTAGTTGACTCTCAGCTCCGCTCTCTGACCTTTCCATTGGAAGGTACTTAACCTTTCTAAAGATTAAGGGGGAAGTAATGCTTATTTTGAAGGGTAATTGTGATGATTAGGTGAAACAGTCTGACATTTGTCCAACCCCCATGCCCTTTTTTTTATGTCTCTGGGGTCTTCCCAGCTTCCAGGGGGAAAATTCTCCTTTTAAAGGTTCTTTTTAGGGCCACAGATTGAGGCATTAAGGGCCAATATCAGAATGACTAGTTTTTATGTTAGATTAAATATGGGCAGTACTTGGCAGGTGATGATGGGGTGTATCTCTAAAACTTAGAAATGAGAGTAGGCCTGAGAATGAAAATGTCAGATAAGCATAATGATTCAAGGCTGAGAAATGAAGAGTTCCCCTAAACAGGTTCTAGGCCAAGACTTGCCCAAACAGAAGATGTTAACAGAGCTTAAAGAGGAGTCAGAGTTGCAGGGCAGACACCTGGCCAGGTAGAATGGCCACCTCCATGGAACAGGGATCTTTCAGAACAGTACCTGTTGAGATGGTGCAACTGCTCTGTGTCCTTGCGTGGCACACAGCCTTTGCAATATAATTTGGTTTCCTATACAAGATTTCCTGTAGAAAAAGGACTTGTGTGGTGGCTCCCGCTGTGGCTCAGTGGTAGAGTGCTTGCCTAGCATGTGTGAGGCACTGGGTTTGTTCCCCAGCACCACATAAAAGAACTAAACAAAATAAAGTTATTGTGTCCATCTACAACTAAAAGTACTAAAAAAAAGAAAGAAAAAGGACTTGTGGTTAACTGATCTCAAGACCCACTTTATAATCATGTTTTTCTTTATGAACAAATATTGGAGCACTTTCCAGTTCAAATATCATATTCTTTTAAGTTTGGTTAATGTAAACCAGGTGGTCTCCAGGGACCAATCATTGCCCAAATTGAATTCTCAAGAAATTGAGATTGACTTTAGAAAGTATTAAGTGCACCAAGGTAATGATCCTCTGTGTAGTAGTCATGGGGGATGCAGCCCACATCCATTGGGAAACATCCTCTGTTCCACTGGACACTTTCTTTAGACCAATAAGTGACAGAGGCAAACATGGAGAAAAGGTAGGTTTGAAGGGCAGAGATGGAGGAGGGGATAATAGGCACAGTGTTGGCTAAGACTTGCTCTGACTCTCAGGTTTCCTTGTATAACAGGAGCCAGTTCTCTATTTTATTCTGCATTTCAACTTCTCCAAGTAATTCCTTTGAGAACTTGGCAGTGGCTTCTTTTCGGAAATGAGTATGTCTTGAAGCAAAGCCAGAGGCTGGAATGTTTAGGGCTGGATGTCCTAGGCATTGGGGCCATTAACTTGCCATGTGACTTTGGAGGGCTCTCAGACTTCCTGAGGTTGCTGTGCCCTCTTTGAATAGGAGGAGGCGCAGTGACAGAGTACAGACTCCATGTGAGCAGGGGCAGCTTCCAAAATCCATTCCCACCTGATGATCCACCCTCAGGAGGGGTGGATGTTTTTTTTTCTGTTGTGCAAGTAGATTTTTCTTTTAGTCTTTTAGGCTTTGAGGGGAAAATCGGAGTCTTTGCTTCAGATGGCCACTTTACCCACTTCCAAATGCCAAGTGCCATATTTGAGCATACACTTGGGACAGTTCTAAGTAAAGCAGAGAGTGACCATTGAAACTAGCAAGTCCAGTTTCAAAACTGGGCCAGGCACTACTCACAGACAGAGACCCAAACTAACAAAGACACTCACATCACTTTTCCTGTCCAGTGAGGAGGAGTGGTTTTCTCTCTGGTCCATGCAGCATTTTCCTGTTCCTTTCTGATGACAGTCAGCTGACTCCTAAGAAGGAGGATGCCTTATATTAAACACTTTTTATTTTTTTTTAAATGGGTAAGTATATATGTGTCCTGAAGGATTTGGCAGTTTTCACTTTTTAACACTATTGGTAGTTTCTATTAGTAAGCTGCCATCTTACTAATTCTGTTCAAGAAACTGAAATAGCTGGGCCAAGAATGTAAAAAGCTTCCTTTTCTACTGAAATCTCAGGGAAAATCA